CAAAAAAAAAAAAAAAAAAAAAAAAAAGAAATTTAAATCATAATACAATTTACATTAGCACCCCCCCAAATGACTAACATATAATTCAACAAAGTATATACAAAATCTATATGAGGAATACTACAAAACTCTGATGAAAGATATCAAAGAAAAACTAAGTAAATGGAGAGACATTCCATACCCATGAATAGGAAAACTCAGCTTTGTCAAGATGCTAGTTCTCCTTAATTTTATCTATAGATTCAATGAAATCCAATCAAAATCCCTGCAAGTTATTTTATGGATAGTGACAAACTGATTCCAACATTTTTATCAAAAGGCAAAAAACCAAGAATAGCAAATACAATATTGAGAGAGAAGAACAAAGTTGGGGAACTGACACTACTTGACTTCAAGTAATACTATCAAGCTACAATAATCAAGAGAATGTGGTATTGGTGAAAGAACAAATAGATCAATGGAACAGAACAAAGAACTCCAAAACAAACCCACATAGATATAATGAACTGATCTTTGATAAAAGAGCAAAGACAACACAACTGAGAAAAGACAGTCTTTCAACAAATGGTTCAGAAACAACTGGACATTTGCACACATACATAAACACACAAATAATCTATTCTTCATAAAAATTAAATTAAAATGAATCATAGACCTAAATGTAAAATGCAAAACTATGGAACTCCTAGAAGATAACAGGAGAAAATGTAGATGACCTTGAATTTGGTGATGACTTTGAAGATGTGACATCGAAGGCACAATTCATAAAAGAAAGAATTGATGGGAAACCCCTCACTGTGGGAGCTTTTCAGTCCTCTTAATAAATCCTTCTTTAAAAAAAAAAAAGAAAGAAAGAATTGATAAGCTAGATTTTATTAAAACTAACAATTTCTGCTCTGTAAGAGAGAATGTAAATGCAAGTCACAAAATGAAATAAAATATTTTCAGAAGGCTTATCAGATAAAGAATTACTGTCTAAAATACACAAAGAACTCATAAAACTTAACAGAAAACAAAAAAATCCAATTTAAAAAAGGACCAGATACACGAAACAATGCTCAGTCTTACTAGTCATCAAAGAAATGCAAATTAAAACTACACTGAGGTACTACCTAACTCCAGTCAAGATGGCCATCATCAATAACTGAAAAAACAACAGATGCTGGAGAGGATGTGGGGAAAAGGGAACACATCTATACTGTTGGTGGAGTGTACAATCTCTGTGGAAAACAGCATGGTGATTCCTTAAAGATCTAAAAATCGACCTTCTGTACGACCCTGCAATCCCCCTACTGGGAATATACCCAGAGGAACTCAAATCATTCTATGAAAAAGATACCTGCAGATGTGTGTTTATTGCAGCATTGTTCACAAAAGCAAGAACATGGAACCAACCATCCTACTCATCAAAAGAAGGTAGGATTTTAAAAAATGTGGTACATACACACAATGGAATATTACACAGCCAAAGGACAAAATCACGAACTTCACAGCAACCTGGATGGATTTAGAGTTTATAATACTGAGTGATCTATCACAAAACAAAGGACTAAGTATCACATGCTCTCACTCATAAGTTGACCTTGAACAATTATCGTAATACTATAAGAAAAGGATTGGCAGTAGCAGAAAACGGGGGGCGGGGAGGAGGAGAGGGGAAGGTGGGACTGGCAGTAATGGGAATCTGCGAAGGGGGGCACACCTCATCAAGAAGGGTACCCTCATAGTGAACATTTGTGTGCCTAGCCCTGAATTGTACCCCATATCTTTAAAATAAAAAAACTAGAAGTTAAAAAAAAATTGAAAAAAAAGGATCATAAGTAAACCTTAGTAAACCCCTCACCAAAGAAGATATATATATGGTAAAAAAGCACAGGAGAAAAGTACAGGAGAAGATGCTCCATATGAGATACTATAGCACCACTATTAGGACCACAATCCAGAACGCTGACACACCAAATTCTAGAGAAGAAGTGGATCTACATTCATGCTGCTGGAAATATAAAATGGTACAGCCACTTGGGAAGACAGTTTGTCAGTGTCTTATAAAACTAAACACATCTTTACCATATAATCTAACAACCACATACCTTAATATCTATCCTAAGTAGTTAAAAGTTCATATCCACACAAAATTCTGCACATGGATGTTTACAGAAGCTTTATTCATAATTGCCAAAGACTGAAGGCATCCAAGATATCCTTTAGCAGGTGAATGCATTACTAATCTGTGGTGTATCCAGACAATGGACATTTTTAGTGTATTTTAGCACTAAAAATAAATGAGTTACCAAGCCATGAAAAGACATGGGGGAAACTTAAATGTATATTACTAAATGAAAGAAACCAACCTAAAAACACTATATACTGTATGCTTTCAACCACAGAACAGTTTAGAAAAGGTAAAATATGGAAACAGTAAAAAGATCCGTGGATGGGTTGTGGGTATAGGGAGGGATGAACAGATGGGATACAGAGGATTTTTAGGCAGTAAAACTATTCACTATGGTACTGTAATGGTAGATACATTGTCAGTGTCTTATAAAACTAAACACATCCTTACCATATAATCTAGCAACCACACCCCTTAGTATCTATCCTAAGTAGTTGAAAACTCATATCCACACAAAATCCTGCACATGGATGTTTACAGCACCTTTATACGTCTGTCCAAACACATAGAATGTCCACCACCAAGAGTGAGCCCCAATGTTAATTGTGGGCTTTGGGTGATGATGATGTGTATAATGCCCATCAATTGTCACACATGTACCACTCTGCTGGGGGATGTGGATAGTGGGGAGATTATGTATGTGTATGGCATATCTCTGTACCTTCCTTTCAGTTTTGCTGTGAATCTATAATTGCTCCCCAAAATAAAATCTATTAATAACTTTTTAAAGTGACTTGGTTTCTGGAGAGCTGGTTCTCGGGTGGTGTGTGTCTCACCGGGAGGCTGGCAGTGTAGGTCAAGTTGTTGACTCACGTTGATGACTCATTGAGTCATATCTCTGGAACATTTTTACATTTGCAGCTGGTGAGGCAGGTCACCCACATCCTGTATTACTACATTTTCCCCCAAACTAAATCCAGGACTTGACATTTATGCCACTGAATTCGGTCTTGTTCAAGTCAGACCAATGTTTCCAGCCTGTGGAGTCCTGGTTGCTCTCCTGACAGCTGTGCCCCACCCAGCTCTGCCCGAGCTTCTATAAAAGGAAACTTCCTTCAAAGCTCACAGAAAAGAAAGGAACCCTGAAGAATGAAAGTGCAAAAGGAAGTTGTGTCATTGAGTCCTCTTCCTCCCCAGCAACCACGAAATATGAAAAAGGAACCTGTGTTTACTGACCTGCTCCCTGCTTCAACAGCTCAGCTGCTGAATTGGCTGCTGTCTGGGGAGAATTTTCTGCTATTTCCTCCATCGGATCTGCAGAAAGGGGCGAGAAAACACAGAAATGAGTCCTGCCCCCAACAAAGAATCCTCACGATGAAGTTAGGCAATTTGATGACAGAATTCCCAGACAGTGACATGTGCTGGTTTTGCAGAGTTAAAAGTTTCTCTTGGGGACAATAATCGTGTCCATAGAAACTATGATCACGTTCTGAAGAAAAATAGGGACAATATGGCCCAACACAATATTTTTCTAACCCGAATGAATTATAAAACAATACATTTTTAAATGGTAAATTGCATTTATCTATGTTTTAAATTAGGTTATGTTTATGTGAAATTGCTTAGGAAAGCTAGGACATATGCTCGAATCACCTTGACAAGCTGTTATTTTTTTTTAACTGTATTGTAGATATTTTCAAACAAACATAAAAGTAAAAGAACAGTTCACGCATTACCTGAATTCAACAATGTCACATTTTGCCCATTTTGTAGAACAATAAATAGTAAATGTAAATGACCTTGAAGGCCTCTTGGTCTTTGTGTTTTGTATTTTTAAGCTACAGAATCTTTGCTCTATGGAAACCTTTCATCAAAACCCATGATGTAAGGACATCTGGGAGCTGACAGTGCAGCAGGCTCTCCTCTTCTCTCCTTGACTTGGGTGAACCCTTTGGCCTTCTTTTGGGTTTCTCCACAGAGCACATGTTAGACAAAAACTTCCAGTTGGATTTTTCTCAATGGATTCCTGGAAATGGGTATGCTTTGACAACTGCAGGCAATCCCACACAAAGCCAGATTAACACTGAGGACCCGGCCCCGTACCTCTCTCTGGAATGAGCAGCTTGCACGGCAAGGCCAAGGGCGTGATAGAATGCTGACACACCAAGGCCGTCAGGCTCCCTGCAAAATGGACAGACAGCAAACAAGAGTCAATACTGCTCTGTTTGTTGTGTGTGCAGCCAGTTGATCAGCTAACATGATCGATTATTGTGGCACTTAGTACAAGACTTCAAAGAAATGACAAGCTGAACAAGATAGGTACACATAAAGGTAACTTGATGATTCTTAGCACAGACACATAACCAAATTATAAAGACTAAACCAGGCAACCCCTTCAGCTTCTTGTGGGAGCTTTTTGGTCCTCTCAATAAATCCTGCTAAAAAAAAAAGACTAAACCATACAGTTCACTGAATCTTAAATTAGGAGGGCTGAGATCAACCTAATTTCAACTTTGACCACATATACTATCCCTGCACAATGCTTTTAGAAAGATATAATAACAGTGATGCCTAAGTGTGCACAGTGCTTCCTGTGGCTGGCTAATGAAACCAACAGGCCTTCACAATGTACTTGTCTTTCCAACAAGCCCAGGAAGTAGGGAAGTCTCTCAATTTATAAGGAAGGAAGGTGCTCTCTTGGGAGTTCTGACTGGGGCCCCAACCTTCTAGGGACTCCGCTGATGCCAACTAGAACAGAATCTCCTTGATGTTTACGATTTCAAGTCCTGGTATAGTGCTTTTCATGCAGGGTTGACAAAGCTTCTTAGAACAATTTCATATTTAGTTCATCTTAGTTCATATTCAGACCAGAGGAATCTCAGAATTGGGGATTGAGAAACAAATACACCACCACAAGAGTGATGGTCCCAAATCTCAGGTCCATGAGCAGACTCACCAAAATATGGCTCGTTTGAACACCCTTTCAAACGCACTCCTTTCGGGGTACACTCAATCAAAAAATGCCGAACAAGTTCATTGGCCAAATCTCCAGCTGTGGCAAGAAATTAAAAAAAAAAGTTTTTAAAACAATGAGAGCATGGGAGGATTGGAGACAACAGTCATTAAAGCAAGGAGCTACACTTGAGAAGGCCCCTCTTTGAACAGAAGTCCTGCCACTATGTATATGTTTGGGGCAGGGGGCTACCAAGAACCGTGCCAGGAACGGCAGTGGGCTGCAGAGTGGATGCGTGAACATGAACCAAATGGATGGCAGGATCCTTTGCAGTGGCGATGTTGGGATAGAGGAGACCCTTTGGAGAGGCCCTCAGACATTCTCCAAGAATCCCAGTGAGGGGAATGAGCTTGTAACTACGAAAGAGAACCACGGATCTTCGTGTCCATCCTCTCCCAAAGAGAAGGTGAAAAAGACTCAGACACAAAATGATACCTAAGAGTGAATCGCTGAAAAAAGTTGGAAGGAAGTCAGTCTTCTAGATGGGATTCAGCCAGAAGCCTGGGGACACAAACACCTCCAGAAAGCAAGCTCTCAGCTATGTAGGAGCAGTTAGTAAATAGTACATCTGCATTCAAGCCAGCCCGTGAATCCAAAGAGAAAATGCACCATGAAAACCACAAGATGGCAAAACTGTCTGGAGGTACAAATGACATAACCAGGGGAAAAGGAAGTCACTGCCCTGTGCTAATGAAACCAATAGGCCTTCACAATGTGCTGTATTTCCGTTCTCCAGGGCTTCCTTCATTACCTTCCACGTGAGCATGTCTGTCTAGACTTCTAGTATTTCTGACATAGGAAACTTCCTGATGGCAGGACCTGCTGAGGTGGGCCTGGGTCCCAACACCTTGGCCATAGTAGGCTCCCCAAGAACGTTTACAAACAGCAACAAATGTCAGTGACAGTGTCAGGTTTTCGTAGTGAGAGTACAGGAGGACTGGAAAGAGATAATAGTCATACGAGTAAGATCTACACTTGGGAAGGCTCCTCTTTGAACAGGAGTCTAGCCACTGTCAGGCATGTGTGTATGGGGGGGACTACCAACAACCATGTCAGGAATGGCAGCAGCTGCAGAAGAGCTTTCAGAAAAGGAAACTGATCTGATCACATAAAAGGCTATATTGAATAAAACGGGGAGAAGAACATGTTGCCATTCCGTTGTGAAAGGAAAACGATCCATGACTGATGGTGACACCCAGTGTGGGTCTGGATGTCCCTTGGGAGAAATGGCTCAGCAGGAAATCCTTTAGGCTGAGGCTCTCTGGAGAACAGCGTCCTGAACGTCCCTAGTCATCCCATCTCTGGGTCACTGGGAGGTGGTATGGTGACTCGCTGCGGCACTTTACTAGTTTGGTAAACTCTTCTCGCAAATCTGTCCTTGGACTGTGAAATGCAAATGTCAAATCCAGGGGCAGGATTTGAAGGCCCCTGGATTTGAAGGCGCAGCAGCCAGACACGATTCCTCCAGAGGATACCGACCATGCTGGGTTTCCTGAAGTCTGCTATTCTCATATCCTATCTTTGTTTCCTTTCGTAAGATTGAGTCCAAAGTCTGTCTCTCAGGATGCACGTCTGGAGGAAAGAGTAGCTGTACACCGCCATCTGTTTTTCCAAAAAGATAATGCATGCAGAAGTTCTGTTTGCTCTCGCTTTAAAATTTTAAAAGGAAACCAAGGAGCCAAGCAACACCCAATAGCTGCTCCATCATCCCTGCTCTCCCATTCATCGCTTATCTCTACAGACTCACCGGATGTTCTTCTCCTGAGACCCCTTTTCCTGCTATCATCATTACTCAGCTTGCTTCCAAACAAGGCTTGAACGATTCTCAACAGCCAGACCTAGCTGAGCTCTCCAGCTATGGAATTCCACATTTCTCCTCAAAAGCAGCATCTTGCTGGGCTTATGCTAGAATTCTGGATGCCGGAAGATGCCACTTTTCGAGCCTTATCTGCGCTCTCTCTCCTACACAAAGCCTCCTCCAGTCTTCACTTCAAGAGAGTTGGTATCCACAGGTTTAGGGGCTGAGCTTGATTGAGCCCTGGTTCCTTTCCAACCTCATCTTCAACCTCTTTCATTCCCACGTTGTGACCTTTGCCAAAAGGAACCCATCTATGTTCCCCGGAAATGCTGCAGCCCCGCCTGAGACTGGACCTCTTGGCAACCAGATATTATATTCCATAAGGTCTAACTCCAAGGTGGTTTTCTCTGGTAAACTTTAAGTGAGGTTTCATCCAAGGATTGAGATAAATCCTCTCAGACACTAGGCATGAAACATGAGCGAACCAGGTGGGTGTATTGTTTCTCTGTAAACACAAGGAGTTCAAAATCTGTGCTTCTGATTTCTCCCATTCCTAGTGAGCCAAGGTTCCCTTGCGGGGAACCAATGTCCTGGTGATGCTCCCCAATCCCACAATTTCCATCTTGGGGCAAAAAAGGGTAAAATAATCTTTTCCCTTTCCACAGAGTTAGTGGCATAGTGGCAAACAAAGATGAGAATATACAAGGGCAAAAAGCGTAGAGTGAAACAAAAGAAAAAGAAAAAACTGAAAACCAAGTATCTACCAACAATAGAAGAGAAAGAGACTGCAGTGTATTCATAAGTTGTAAAACCATAAATAATGAACAAGAACAGCTACAAGCAATCATAAAATTTGATGAATAAATCTTACAATGTTGAGTACAAGTTAGACACAAAATAATATGTACTGTACTAGCTTTCTTATTTCACATAAAAAAGATAAAACTGTAACATTTACAGATTTGTATCTTGCAGATTAACATAAAAATGTTAACTTTACATTTTATTTAGTAGGCTTACTACCTACTGTCTACAATAGTATTGATGTAGTAACTCAAACTTTCGTATATATTGAAGAATACAGAAAGAGAGCACATGTTGATGCTGGGATCCAAGGTCCTCGGTGTGGGAGGGACATGTAAATATGCATGGGAGGAGGTGAACAAGAACCTTGTGGTGCTGTTTGAATTGTGGGTATTTGAATCCCTCAGCTCAGGCATTTTTTTTGAGTTGGAGACTCACTCTGTTGCCCAGGCTGGAGTGCAGAGGCATACTCAGGCCACCGCAGCCTCAACCTGCTAAGCTCCGGCAATCCTTCCGTCTCAGTCTTCCAAGTAGCTGGAACTACAGGTGCACGCTACCACGCCTGACTTCTTTTTTGATTTATTATAGAGATGAGGTCTCACCAAATTACCCAAGCTGGTCCCGAATCCCTGAGCCCAGGCAATCCTCTAACCTCAGCCTCCCAAAGTGCTAGGATGACAGGCTTGAGCCACCACCCCTGGCCTGAGCTCAGGGATTTTTAACAATGAGAAGCAGTGATACTCCAGCAACAGAAAGCACACCTAGCAATCAGATCCTGGTGTTCAGATACTAGTCCCCAGCAAACGGCACCAAGGATTTGGAGGAAATGGCCAGGGCAGGGAAAGGACAAAGTAAGGAGGAAACACGATTGTTTCTTCAGAAGTTAGAACTGCTGACAGAAGATGCTTCAAAAGGACTCAGGAGCCCACCTGGAGAGCATCAAGGAGCCAAATATGGGGCCACTGGAATACCAAAAAATAGTGGTGGCGATGGATGACAACACTGCAACAAGGGGCATGCGGGGGACTCCCCACAGGGTTCTCTCCTGGGCCATAGCTAATATGCATACTTGCCTAATCATCATGTTCAGTTGTATTCATAGGTACTACAGACTTTTTTGAATATAGTTATGCTTTGTAAAAAAAAAGTGGTAGGCCGAGCTCGGTGGCTCAGCCTGTCATCCCAGCACTTCGGGAGGCCGAGGTGAGTGGATCGCCTGAGTCCGCAGGTTCGAGACCATTCCAGGCAACTTGGCAGGACCTAGTCTCTACAATAAATAAAAAATTAGCTGGGTGTGGCAGCACATATCTGTAGTTCCAGCTGCTTGGAAGGCTGAGGCGGAAGGATCGCCGGAGCCCAGCAGGTCGAGGCTGCAGTGGCTGGGAGCATGCCACTGCACTCCAGCCTGGGCGATGGCATGAGACTCCAACTCAAAAAAAAAAGCGGTAAAAGAAGAGTAAGTAGAAAGTTACTTTTATTCTATACATGATCCAGTTACTGTTTGTTGCCTGCATGCAATGTGCTGGGAGAAGGGGGGGCGGTCAGGAAGGCACAGTTCTTTACCTTGGCAAGTGATTGTCTAAAGACCCTAGGCTTATGCTAGTATCACTTTTAATCAAACTAAAAATGCCCTACCGGGTACAGATATAAGAACAGTGCATGCAGTATGCTACCTTTCAAATACAACCAAAGGAAAATGCACATTTGCCTGCAGTTAGACAGGAAATCAGTGAAAAGACACACAGGATTGATTACCCCAAAGGAGTGAGGGGAAGTGACATAGGTGAAGCCAAAATGGAAGCAAAATATGCTTAGTGGATGCCTTATTCAATTGCTCTGATTTTTGAACATTGGAATGGATTACCTATTCAAAACAACAGAAAATAACATTTACAAGTAATTAATGTTCTTTCTTAAACAAGGAGAATACTTTTGTAAAATATACCTGAAAAATTAAATAGAGGAAAACTGTGAGTATAAGTCATCTACTATCATATTAGCATAACAAAAAACCAGCAGAGTTTCTCTGTGAATGAGTTGAACAAATCATTTAGTGGGACGTCCTACCTTTCTTGTTCATCTGTAAGACAGAGGGGGGTGGTGTGGCCACCTTCATGGCCAGGCCATAGGCCCCACGGAAGGAGTGACTGTCCCGAACGATGAATGACCCAGGCTCCTTGTCCTTCAGCATGGCAATGGCTAGAAAGGAAGAAGAAAGACATGTATGTCTGCCAGGGAGACAAAGGTCTGTGTCCATTACCTTGGGATGGGTCCCCTCCCCTTATTCCTTTTGCAAACTGGGTTATTAGGAAGCTGGCCAGGGTCCCTCTGCTTAGCTGAAGAAACAACATGTCCATATAGTCAGAGGACCCTCAGAGAGGTTTCTGGGGTGTTGTGTATTTTTCGTGGGTAGATCTGACCACGAGGAAGCAAAAAGGGACAGGAAAATCCCTCTCTTTAGCAAACTGAGGTGTCAGGCACTATCCTGGGTGCTGCCTGTAGGGAAAAAAAAAAACCCACAATACTTAATTTCCATTCATCTCATAGCACCTGAGCGTAAAAAAATGGAACCAGGTAAAAAATGGACCAAGAGGTGAACTAGGAAGGGGAAGAGAGGCTGTCACAGTACCCACTGCTACTGCCACTGCCACTCTTTGGGGCTATCTCCCGCTGTGGCATTTTTCTTAAACATTTTTAGAGTGTGGATTCTTTCAACAGAGAAAAAGGAAGGCGGTTTCTAATTATACTTTCCGAAAATAGAAAGTGCATACCCAGAAAAGTTACTGAATATTTAATAAAATTCCAAGAGTCACGTAGGCAGCTCTCCAGCCTGTGACTCTGTGGCAGACACGGACAAATGAGCCCAGCCTGGATGAGGCTATGGATTCTTTTCTCCATGTACAGCACAGTGGGTCACCCATCTTCCCTAGGAAGGCTGGAAGGCATTAAGCTAATCATTAAAAAAAAACAAAAAACCCTCCTCTTCACGGTCAAAATCTGGCATCTCCAAGTCTTATCCTCATGGTATAGGAAGAAGGAGGCAAGAGTCAGGATAACAGTAACTTCAACTTGATGTCTCTCGGACAGATCAACATTTTCTCTGGTAACTAGAATAAATCTCCAAATTTCTTTTATAGACATTGACTTTATGAGAAGAAAAAAGACTAAAGATTTAAAGTACAAAGTTATACATAATTACAGAGATGAAAACGCTGCCTTTCTGGAATGCCAAAGGCTCTGTCTGGAAGAGATTAGGGTGCAGGACGCCAACCAGTAAATGGCAGGAAACCTCCACGACGCGTCAGTAAATGCCTTCATGGTGTCCTGTTGCAGGCCCCTCACATGCCCCGTGCCTGCCCCAACTCATGGGCATGGCATTCATCTGGCTGCAGATCGAAACGAATGGTTTCTTCGACATACTTTTTTTCATCACTCTGCACCGTGGCCCTGTGACAGGATAAGGCCACAAAGGAGTAGCTCAATGTACCCCTTGGGAGACTGCACGTAGGGGGAAAGATGGGTGGGAAAACACAGGCACACTCACAGCACACACCCAAGGTGGTGCCACTGGCAGGGCCAGCAAGGGCTGCAGCCACCCCATGCCAGGGGCAGCCCAGGGCCGGGAGAGGGGCCCTCTTCAGGGTGGGGCGCAGGCCCTGGGTATAAGCCCTGCATACTGGTTCAAGTTTTCTCACAGCATAGTCTCTACATTTGGGGGGTTGAACACGTATTACTTTTTAAAAAGTAGAGTGAAAGATCACTTGCAGAAATTATTTTTCAGTTGTGAGACACCTCATCAGAGTACTATTTTTGATCACAATTTTACTTTTGTATGGTAAATGAAGGCTCGAAGCCACGAAAGACTAGGACTCGGGGCCAAATATGGCAGCGTGGCAAGCATCTGCTCTGTTCCAGGGAATCCCCTCCAAGGCCCAGGGTTGGGCTCTGCTTCCCATGGAATCCCCGGGAGCCAGGTTGCATAGTGGCTGCACTCTCACATGCCAGCAAAGAGGAGTTAGGGGAGAATTTCAGACTTGTTATTTTTGAAACAGAAATGGGCTGAGAGGCCTAGTGTGCTGAAGCTGTAGAAGTAAGTGTTTGTACACTGCACGTGGCAGCCACACACTCTGCCCGGCCAACACTGGCATCGAATTCCCCGTCGTGAAGATGGAAGAGGGGGTGAGGGAAGCAAGCGGTTCTCATCCCGCCTTCTCACAGCCTCCAATCCCTGCAATGAGTACTTTCACAGCCATCAGGAGAAGCAACACTTGAGAAAGTACACCCTGAGCAATAATATTTAATCTCAGTTTTACTTTATTTTTAGGTTTACTTTAGGAAAGTCCCAAGGAATTAAATATGTGACAAATTACACCCCAAAAGATGCTGCCTGACTGTTTTTTTTCCCTCCTGCATCACTCTGAAATGTCACTCTAGTTTTCTAGAAAAAGACACATCTGACAGTTAAAAACCAATGAAACCCATAGGTAGCCTTCTGCTATCTGGAGAAACTGGCACACCCAGTAGAACATGAGTCTGTGTAGGTCTCTCTCTATAAAATATCTAGAACATAGAGGAGGCTGTGCTTTTAGAGCTCAGCTGGAAAAATCAATGGCCAATGCCTATATCAGTCATTCAGAGACTGGGGCCACCCAGACAAACCCTTTAAAATGTATGCTGACGCGTGCCTAGAGTTCCAGTTACTTGAAAGGCTAAGATGGAAGGATCGCCAGAGCCCAGCAGGTTGACATTGGGGTGGCCCGTGAGCGTAACACTGCACTCCAGCCTGGGCGACGGAGTGAGACTCCAACTCAGAAAATAAAATAAAATAAAATGTGTGCTGAAGACCAGGTAAATGGTGACAAGAGCCCCACCGCCCACTGTGCTTCTCTGTCTACTTATTGTGCATCTACTGTGCCCCAGAAGGACAAGTGCTTCCACACAATGCCTTCAGCAGCAACCCTGCAAGCTCGGCCAGGTCTGTCCTGCCAAGGAATCCAGTGGCATGTTTCCTCCCGAGTCTGTCTGCTTCTGAAGTCCTTTTGCTAGAACGACATTACACCATGGGAGAAGGAGGCAGCCCAGCCCTGCACATCATGCCATTGAGAAGATGGTGCCAACAGAGTGGGAGGGTCTGCACAGAATATTCTAGAACATGGTGCTTGATAACCATCTCCTAGTCTGGCCAGCTGGAGGAGGTGCTGAAGCTCTAGAGGTCACTGTCCTGGGGATTCCTTTGACACACGCAGGACCCGGCTGGTGGCAATGAGAACACAGTATCCAGCCGCCGCGGAGCCTGCCGACATGGTGAGCAGCATTTCACAAAGGCCAATTCAGGGAAAAAGAAGTCTTTCCAGGCCATGGGCTTGTTCCCTCTTTCTTCCACTTAAAATGACAATAGCTTCTTTGAGCTCATGAGAATAAATGCACATTCTTACCATTTCTATCATCTACATAATTGAATAGCAAGATTTCAATGGGAGAGCTTGGACAGTGCTATGTTCCAGCCATTTAACTATTCATCCCTCAGCATTTGCGAGACATCATCATAAGAAGAGAGTACGATGATTTTCTTCTGAAGTTGGCATAATGAGGCACAGAGTGGTTAAGTGGGTCTCCTGCTCACTACAGGCAGCTCATTATTTCTCACCCTTTTAAACGACCCCATTCTCTCTCCAGCATCCACCAGGCAGCACCCAGGATTCACTTCATTTCCCAGGAATCCTGACTCTCTTCCAGTCCCTGGAGGCACAGCCCTGCCCTTCCCTGCCAGTGACATACCATCCCTTTGAGGTACGTTCCAGGAGTGATGAGCTCTCTGCACTGCCAAAAGCAGGCATCCAGCAGAAGACACGCTCCTGAGACAGCCTTGAGCAGGGACGGCAGTCTCCCCGGGGCTGGGATCAGCACCTCATGGGGACTCATGGATTCTGGACGCTGCCTGGGAAAGCTTGCAGCCTTCCTCTCTGACATCTCTTCTGTTCATGTTCCAGTAAAAAGTGATGCTTCACTTAATTGCTAAAAAATCTTAATGAATTCAAATGTTTAAAAACTGCCTTGAGGCTGTACCAAGTGAAGAGAAGCTCTGCCTGGGTGGTGTGTGAGGCATTCGGTTAAGCCCACAACCAAGCCTCATTATTAACTGCTTGTCTTTCAGTCTCGGGTGGACGCAGGAAAGACGGAGAAGGGTCCCCCAATTCTCCTTCCTTCCTGGCCCTCATCCTCCGTGGCTGAGGACCTCGATGGAGATGCCAGGAGAGTGTATTTCCTCTTCCTAGTCAGCAGTCATGGGCTGGCATCACTGGCAGGCTGCCGGCTGGTGTAAGCAGTCAGAAATTACACCCTGCCCGCTGGAATGCTTATGGCTGGTGGCCATTCCTTACCAACTCCCTCATTAGTACCGTTTTCCCTCTAATAATGTAAAGGTCACAGTATTTTCCCAGAAGGCGTGTCATCAAGGGTGGGCCTTGCTCTAATTCAAACCACACCAAGGCCACCCTTCTCTGATGTTCCCTGTGCAGGGCCCATCCTCATACAAGGAATCAAAGTGCTCGGTGGGACACCTAGACGCCTGAGGAGGCACCATCTACCCCACATACCTTGTTCCCTTGAAATATCCGCCTTATACCAGAACTTGGAAGTGTCTTGAACAAATTTCACGATTACAAGCTTATCACCTGGACTTTCTGTAAAGTAAAATTTAAAAACAGTGACTATGTAGGACTTTTTTTTTTTGCAACTTCTCATTTGTGATAATCCTAGACATCCAAATTTGACATTGAGAAGAGGATGGAATGTTCTCAGGAGACAGAGCCCTATATTGAAGCGATGAGGTTGGAGGAGACTGCAACTGTTTTATAAAAAGATCATGATCGCCAGGCTCGGTGGCTCAGCCTGTAATCCCGCGCCTTTGGGAGGCTGAGGTGAGTGAACTGCCTGAGCCTGCGGGTTCGAGACCCGCCTGGGCAGCGAGACCTCATCTCTACAATAAATCAAAAAATCAGCCGTGCGTGGTAGCGCATGCCTGTAATTCCAGCTACTTGGAAGGCTGAAGTGGAAGGATCGCCAGAGCCCAGCAGGTCGAGGCTGCGGTGGCTGGGAGTGACCACTGCACTCCAGTCTGGGTGACAGAGTGAGACTCCAACTCAGAAAAAAAAAAAATCATGATCATCTAAGCAGGACTAAGCAATACACTGTCAAAATACATAGGAAGCAAACAGCTGCCTAAACACTGATTAAATGGTGTTGTTTCATCAGTGTATCGTATTACTTATATTCTTGAACTATTTCATAATTACATTCCGGATGAATATAATTTGAAAAAGAAAGTTTTAATTTGAAAAATAAAGTTATTTTAAAAGAGTAATGTTCCCAGGTGAAAGGCTAAATAGAGCCACTGCAAATGTCTGCACTTTCTACAATTGGAATGAATCTAAAGGGGCAAAACAGAGAAGACGAGCAGAATTAACAAGAAGCCTGGGTCAGTGTTTGGCTTTGGGCTAGCAAAATGGAAGAGACCCTCAAGGGCTGCAGATTTTTCTCTCAGGGTACTTGGCCCAGCACTAGAGTCGTGCTCACTTGCCAGTTCAGGCTGCAGATCTGGACTCTTCTGTTCCTGAGTGAATGGAAATAGATAGAGGTAGCTCCCCGCCCCGCCCTGGTAGAAACACACCTACCTGGCAAAGGTGAGGACGCTTCTGAAGCCTTGGAAAAGTCCGGAAGGACGTTTGGGAAGGGGATACTGATGGTGCTCCCACTGTGGGGGCTTGAGAAGCCACTGGAGGAGGGGGAGACCGAACCCAGAGAACGATCCCCCTCTGAGGCCCGCTTCTTCTCAGGGAGGGGTGGCTGCCCATGCAGGGTCACCCCCTGGCCCTGCAGGCCTGGGCTGTGGTGGCTGCCATGTCCAGAAGCCACCGTGAGAAAGTTGTGGGACAGGAAGCCATTGTCTGCAGCCCCTGCTGTGGTCAGCGGGATGCCGGGAACTGGTGACGCTCCATGGGAATTGGCCAGCAAGGCTCCCAGGTCCTCCTCGGGTGGAAGGCCACTGCCCACTGGGGGAGTGCTGAAGCCCAAGAAGGCCTGGTTGCTTGGGGGAGCCAGAGTGTCCGGCGGCTCTGCTAGGGACAGTTCATGGCCACGGAAAGAGGCCTGGAGCTCTGACGGTGGGAAGCAGGACAGCACTGGGGAGTCCTTGCTGGGGCTGGAGAACTCAGCACTGAAGGCACTTCCTGTGGGCCGGCTGCTCCCCAGCAGGGACACAGTGGATTTGGAGCTGCTCTCTACCCACTGGCGTTCCGCAGAAGACGAGCTGTTCAAACACAAGCCAACCAAGGGAGCACGTGAGTACAAGGAGATGCCTCAAAACCAGCAACTGTCATTCCACATGGGGAAGATGGGGGTGGGAGAAGGCACTTGCTGACCTGATGTCGCCTGCCTTTCCAGCCTTCCACTTCACACCCGGATACTCGAGCCCACTTAGGGGCGCTAAGGGGAGCAGCCTGCACGCAGGCCTCCACATGCGCTGATAACCCTACACCGCTTCCTCAGCCCCCCACCTTCTTCCATTCCTCGATCTTCGCTTGGTAAAGTCCTTTCTCCCTTTAAGAGAAAGCTCCACTGTGTACCCATTTTGAAGCCTTTTCCCAGCCCTTGTCTGGCCACATGCATGTGTGTGCACAGGAGCAGGGATGCCCTCGCCACTGGTCCCACGATGCTGGGCAGGGATGCCAACCACAATCACCCGTGCAGCGGGATGCCAGCTCACTGTACGTCTATTCCTCCTCTCAGAACAAGCCTTTTTCCCCCTTTCCTTCATGGACAAGTGGTCAGTTCTCAATGAAAGCTTGCTGGACCATCCAGCTGACTAAGGGCTACCACTGTGACTTCTGGAAATGATCAGATATTTAGGAATACAGAAAGACAGTTAAAAACACACCACGACATGCACATATCTCATCAGCAAACACTGACTGGGTGCATAGCCTATATCCCATGCCAAGTCCTTAGATGAGTACTCCCCTGTATTTTTAGGAGAAAGGATTAGAATTAAGGAAGTTAAATAGTGCTCATACAATAAAGCACAAAGAAATGTATTCCTATTCTGGGCAAGGGGAGTGGTCCCGCATACATGCTTCCTCAGGGAAGTGTCTTTGTAAAGCAGAAATAGGACATTTTTCTGTCCGAAGCCTATTCTTTCTCCCTTTCCCCTTCTCTTCATTCTTAAGATCTCTCTAAGACGAATTTTCCCTTATCTCCTTTGCGTCCCAATATTTCCCCGTATGCCAGCATAACTGTCTTCGTGGGCAGCACTGTCCTGCACACAGCCCCAAAACCCTGGTCCGCCCTCCTCATCACACCAATCCCTGCCTGGGCAGGGAAGCCTCCCTGAGGCTCCAGCAACACTGGAAGGCAAGCCCTGGCTGGCCCCCAAGCCTCCCTTTCCATCCTCAGCTCAGCATTCAGGGTCTTTCTGGGCAGCTTGTGACACGTTTAAAGGCTCATCTTCTCACCTCTCTCTCCTCTGGCCAGGGCCGTTGCTGGAAATTGTGCAGGACGATGCAAAGGTCTGCTGGAAGGAGGTTGGCCCAGGCACATCGGCCCGGAGCATCGCGGACTTGGGTCCGATGGGGCTCTCTGACATCCCCACGGTGTGGCTGAGTGTCTCAGGGCAGCCTCGCGATTCTGCAGCAAGAACACAGAGAGCAGAGAGATCTCAGTTGGAGGACCCCAGGAGCCACGATCTCTGTCTCTTTTGCACGTTCTACAAGGGACAGGGCTGATTTCTGAGGTTCTCTGTCATCCGTGGCCACACTGAACATAATATTACTGTCTGTAATAGGCTGGAGGAGGTGTCTCCATGCTCCCCAGTGCAAGTTGATTCTCAGTCATACCTACTCCCAAAAGGCAAGGCACCTAACTCAGTCCCCACACGCAGAATCCAGCCCATTGTTATTATGAGTTGATCGGTGTTGGCATCTCCGTGGCAGATGTGCACTGGACCCACTGAGCCTGCCCTCCCAGGTCCATCACCAAAGAAGGCCAGTGTCCCCCAACTTACTCTCCACGCGCATGAGCTAGGTTGCCACTCGCTTTAGAAAGGGCACCGCCTTTTCTCCGCAAACCAGCAGGCGACTTCTCCACAGAAGGGCTCACATTCCCTAAGTGCAGGCCCCAGGTGGCCTGGGTGTCCTCACTGGTCCCTTGGTCCACACCCTGTTGAGCCGGCAGCTGGCCTGTTGCACATTGAGGAACCACAAGGGTGCATACCCGTTCCCTGAGTTTTCCAGGTCATCCCTGTTGCTGGACTGCCACCCCATGGGGTGCAGACGTCTCCCTTGCTAGCCTCATCAAACCAAATGGCTGTCCCAACATGAGCACCACTCCACAGGTGCTCCACTCATGGGTCAGGGGCTGCCCCACCGCTCACTGCTGTGTCCTCGGCATCCAGCTGGTGCCTCAGGAGCTCCAGGCCATTCACATTATGAATTAATGATCAAATAAATAAAGACTTCAAGGTTAGAGGGAGCCATTCAGGGCATGACATGGAAATACTGCTCGGGGAGCTGGCTCAGTAGAGCAGGCAGATGGCCAGTTACCAATCTCTGGAGTCCCACACCAAGGAATAGCACAGAACCGTGAAATAGAAAATAACTGTCTATTAATCACATGTAATATGCCCACCTTCGGATTGCTTGAGCATGAACTGAGTCACACGAGAGAGAGTAGCACTGAATGCAGCACGAATTTCCATGACTGATGCTGCTCTCAGTGGTCCCCACACAGTCACAGGGGCAGTCCCTGGTGCTTCCCATCCCTGCTGACTGAGGACCAGTGCCTCAAGGTCTGGGGGAACCCTACGCCACAACCAGAAGCCCTCGGCATACTCACACGGCGCCTGGGGTTTTCACCAAATGAGAAGGGGCTAAAGGCAGACACAATCCCACTGTGTTCCTGTTATCACAGTGTGCGTTCCAGAAAACAGCAAGCCCAGCACTTCTCATGAAAGTGGCTTTGTTTATCACTTAATTAGCATGCACTCTGGGGGCACCTTGGCTATGTTCTTCCTTACTGTCAGATCAGTCCCGCAGCCAGTGATGGAACTTAACCCTTTATCTGGAGAAGGGGCTGCCCAAAGCATCAGGTTCCACGTTGATCCAAGGACCTCAATGCGGGGACACCTAGCTTCCGAGGCCATTACTTCTGCAGGGCCCTGGTCACCCCCTGTGTTCAAAGATGTAAGTTGGCCAAGGGCAGCACCACCACGGCTACTAATCCACTTATTAGATGGACCGTGGCATTCACAGAGAAGTGGGGTGCAGGTCATATTTTCAGGTCAGTAGAGTCACTACCCATTCCAATGACTGGGACTGCAGATAGCAAGGAAGACACTGGTGGCAGCGCTACACCACACAGCACCTGTATGCATAGTGCTTGGCACCCACCACCCCGACTTCCCTCTAGTCTGTACAGTCCCAAGAGATGTGGCGCCCCAGCTTTGGAAGTGAGAAGAGCGAGACAGGGAAAGTTCGAGTCCCCTTTCTAAGTGCTCCTGCCCACTGTCTCTGCTGGGCATCCAGAGAGAACAGAGAACAGCCCCTACAGGGCTGGGGGAAGTCCACAGAAAGTCTTGGACAAAGGCACCAGGCAAGTGAATGTGAGCCAGAGACTGCAGACCCTTCCGCATGGGTTCACTTCGTTTCTAGGAGATTGCTTGCCGTAAGAGTAGGGAGAATTGTCATTTAACTTGTCCACTTGATTTTCGTGGTTAAACTACAGGTAAAATGTCCAACATGAAGAAGAGGAGTGGGCCAAGCTCCCTGTCCTGTGGGTGTCAGGCCTTCATACTCTCACCTCTGCACCTGGAAGAAACCCGGCTGGGGTGGGGAGGATGGGTTAAGGAGCTGATGTGACTCCCACCATCTTGGGCAAAGATGTCTGTGAAGGCGCTGTGTGGCTACCTTGGAGGGGAAATGTGTCAGGACATACTTCCCAGCTCTGAGATTCTGGCAGCCTGCCTCACTGCTGAGGAGGTGGGGACATAAGGACACCACAGAGAGAAGAACGGTCCCTTACAGCAACTACATGGAGACCCTTCCGGGGAGGAAAACATCTTCCAAGGTAAATTCCACCTTCCTGAGGCCGTCTAGATGCATTTCCATCTAGATGCGGGAGACACCAGAGCAACACTGATGCTGATTTAGACCCACGTGATTGCTCTCAGAGACCTGCTGTCCAGATCTGATCTGATGCCCTGAACAGATGCTCCCTTCAGTTCCCGGGCATCTTCTTGGCACGGTCTCGTTTCTGTCCTTCGTTCTCACAATACTCTCACATTTTCCCCTTACTGCTCAGACCAAGAGGAAGAAGAAAAATACTGTTAGTGTCTGGAAATACAGCTTCCTCTCACTTTCTGGTTTCCCCTAAGCCAGCTGTTGCTCCCGGCGCCCTGTAGGGGTAGCTGACTGGGGAGGTCTCTGCTGTTCGGCAGCCCCTGGGCCAGGCCAGAACTTGGGAGGCGTGCGCCCGTGCTTCTGGGATCTCAGGAATGTCTATGCTCGTCTCCTCTTGGCTTCCACCTCCTCCATTTCCTTTATCCAGAACAAGGGTGAGAGAGGGTCACCGGCCCTTTTCCAACTGATCTATTTTTATGCTCTCGTCCAAGCTTCTGTGGGAAGCTATATACTGCTCAGTCTCCACTGGCCACTATTTACATGACACATAAATTAACAGGAAGAAAAGAAACCCACGCAGCTCGCAGGTGGGGCCATTGGCTCACTCTCCTCCAAAGCCTCGGAGCGTGACCAGAGACCCACAGCCGAAATGTGGAAGGAACAGCCCGACAAATTAAAAATTCATGAGGGATCCTGATATCAAAGTTCATCCCTGGGGTATGACTCTTAAATTAAATGCAGGAACCACAATTTACTAAGCAAAAAAGTCAGAGCATGTGACATTTAAAAAATACATCAACATTTTCCTGTGTTCCTAATTTTATTTAAGAATTTGGCCAGGCATGGTGGCTCATGCTTGTAGTCCTAACACTTTGGGAGGCCAAGGCAGAAGGATTGCTTTAGCACAGAAATTAGAGACCAGCTTAGGCAACATAGCGAGATCTCATCAACACAAAAATAAAAAAGTTAGGTGTGGTGGTGCCCACCTGCAGTCCCAGCTACTTGAGAGTATAGCCTGAGCCCAGGAGGTCAAAGCTGCAGTGAGCCATGATCATGCCACTGCACTCTGGCCCGGGCGAGAGAGTGAGACCCTGATTCAAAAAAAAAAAAAAAACTTACAAATGCATAAAATTATTCACTCACACATCAATTAGTTAATAATTACAAACTGCCTTTAAACTTTTTATATTACCTTTAATAAAAAATAAAATAAGTTCAACTGAGGTCACTATTACAGTCTCCCATCCAGATAAGGAAACTTGGGTTTTGTCACTGGTCCATAAATAATATACAGGCATATTCACAATAAACTTTTAGGAGTGAGTGAGAATATATCTGCTTGCCTACCCATCTATCTACCTACTTACCTACCCATCCATTTCCCTCCCTCCCTTTTCCTTTCCTCCTGGTCATACCCCGGGGCTATCACATAGTTAAATGGGAAGTATTCTCTTCCACCATTGGAGAAAGCTCTAAAAAAACGAAACAACAAATCTCATCTTCTTCCTCCATTACATTCTAGGTATGAAGTCGGTCTGATGTGGAGAGACAACACAGGACTCCAGGTTCTAGTCTGGGCTCTTCTGCAATGGGTGTTGGCCATTCTCAACCCTCTGGGACCTTCAGGTTGTCTGTAGACTCCCTTCAACTGAGACCAGATTAGATAACTTCCTAGGGTCCATTTAGCTTGAAATTGCAAAATTCTATTTTGAAGAAGCAAGACTTGCTATGGGAGGTTCCATGGCAGTGAGTGGTTTTTTTTTTAGAGTCTTTATCTTATAATTCTTCTGTTATGTGTCTATGAACAACAGGCCATTTAACCAGCCTTCTTGAAAGCAAAGGAAAAGTGGGCAGGCAGCCAGATATCATGAGAATTAATTAGTGAAAACACTGAAACACTGAAAAGGCATTTTCATGGTTTTTGATGTGAATTGAAGTCCTGTATCTAGGGTCCTATGGATAATCTACGGTACAGACAGAAACGGTGAGAAACGCCCAAATGGACAAACATGCACTTTGTATTAGGCCTTTTCCTTTGCAATACTAATGTCAAAATAATACAAAATGATATGAATTTGTTCTACAGCTTAAGGTCACCATTTTCAGTAAATACCAGGAATGCTCTCACAGGATAAGCTGGCTCTGTCTTCTTAAAGCACACAAAGTTCTTATTCTCCCAGTGGGACCAGAAGTGCCCTACCCAGTGCTGGCATTGGGATTCCTGTCCACCAAAAGCCAGGTGACACTTCTGTGACATTCTCATCCCAACTGGAATTATCCTCTTCAAAAAAACAGACAAACAAAAAACCATGCCACAGTCTTCCTTCTAACCAATAACACAAAAGTAACTAGAAAATGCAGATGAAATAGTTCATTACAATTGGTACCCTGTTTTCTCTTATTCTTTGAAGATGTCCCATTTGTATTCAAGGTTTTGATCCAAACAGACTGGAAAGAAAACACATTCCCCAAACTAGTTAGTGTTGTATAGAGAATTCTAATGCTGAAACT